CTTCTTGAGTTCAAGGTTTCTGTGGGATATCCAAGGAAATAAGATGTGTATTGGGCACTGGGCATAGTATCTAGAATTCCCAACATTAGTGTCAGTTGTTGACCATGACACAGAAAAGACAAATGGAAATGCTCTTTACAGAAGCCAGCATAGTTTAAAATGCAGGGTCACATAATGAAAAGAACTCATGGGATTTAGACAGACCTGAGTCTGAATCCTGCCATATACCACCTGTGAGATATTAAGACAACCATTCTGAGCCTCTTAGTTGTCGTGTGTAAAATAGTAGTATTAATACCTATCTAGCAGGCTGGTGTTAAAAAGTAAATGAGGTTGTGTGTGTAAAGCACTAGCACAATGCCTGGCACGTGGTAGATGTTTAATTAAAATTTCTTTTCTTTAATGCTTATTCATGGGTACTTAAGTCATGAAAATATCCATTTCTTGGAGGGACAAGAAAAGAAGAAGAGGGAGCCCTGACAGAGAGAGCATGGTATCCACAAGCCAGAAAGGGGAACGGGGCACCAGCAATGTGAGTTCTCTGGGAAGGAGGCAGAGACACGAGGGAGCGGATCTATGGATGGGCACTAAAAGCAACTGTCTACTTCATGGCTTTTTGAGGGTGGGAGTTCAGGACTACAGTCCTGTAGACAGGTAGTTAATTCCAACTATGGAAAACTAGAAGTTCTCCAAAGGCTCAGCCCAGTTTCCTCTTTGTAATCTACATGCTGACTAGCTAAGAGTCTTCCTCTTTGTAATTTAGGGGCTCCCTAGCTAAGAGCCATAGGGTGTCAGTTACATACTCCCAGATCTGGGCTGTAGCAAAAAAGAAAGGAAATCTTGATGGTGATCAAAGCATGAGGTGGAAACTTGGTGAGTCTGGGCGGAGGGAAGGAAGGTGGCCATGGGCTGGATCTCAGCACGTACACATAGGTGCCAGGCTAGTTGACATCCTTGTGAAGTTAGTTGAGGTTTGTGTTGAGTGTTGTTAGCCTTCTCACTCCTTGCTTATTTCCACTTTATCAGATATTAAGTGATGCCATGCCCTATCTTTCATCCAGACTTGCAACTTTCTTTAACGCTAAGGTATAAATAACTGGTAACAATACAGAGAAGGGTAGGAACATACCCCATGGTGTGGTGCCACTCTTCCTTCACATGCCCTTAGCAGGCATGGTCAGAATCAGAAATCATATCTTCCTTTCCCACCAGTTTTGACTTCAAGATTTTTTTTTTTTTTTTTTTTTTTTAATAAAACAGTGGTCTGGCGGTTACTACAAACTGAAAAGAGTTGCTAAGGACACTGAAACTCATTTACCGTCCTAGGGATGGAATGTCTTGTTTTGCAGTAACTCTTTATTTGCCATCATGAGAAACGCCAAAGGGGTGGAGTTCTAATATAATTTCAGGTGACAGATACTCATGAAGAGGACATTTGGCATGCAGAACATTTTTAGGGGCCTCGGCCATCCGGTATCTTACTCCATCTATGTATCATGTTTGGCAAACAGTCAATTCTCAATAAAAAGTTAGTTAGATAAACAAATACATGAGTTGATTCCTAGCGACATCATCAAAACATTCTCTTTCTTGGGGAAATGTGTCAGTGACTGTGAACTAGACCAGCTGCGGCACTCAAACAGAAATTAGACTCTTAATAGACAATGCGCAAGCATGGAACCCAGAGTTGGACGGGAATATTTCGTGCTCATTTGAAACTTGGCTCTGCCTGTGACTTCTCTGTCACAGATTTCGGGGTGGGAGAATGCTCCCCCAGGGAAAGCCATGAGCGCTGACATGGAAACTGAATAGAACTTTGGCTAGGCTAGAAGTCATTGCTATTTTAGTCGCTTCCAGATGTCTGCTGTTGGAGTTTTAAGGGAAAGGGAAAGATGTGTGGAGTGTGGGGGGCCCGCGGGGTGGGAGGGGAGGGGTGTTTCAAGTCACCCTTCAACATGCTAGGAAGATGGATTGGATAAAGCTTTTTAAAATTGTCTTCTTCAGTGGTGCCTCTTTTATTTACATGCTTGATCGCACATGTAGTAATAGGCAAACTGAAGAAAGCTTTGTGAAATCATCAGGATTCCCCCCAAAACGAACCTTCTCCCTTTGGGTTGCCATCTAATATTTATGAAGTGCTAGCCATTGAATGGTACACACACCAGATGAACCTAACAAGCGTACCAGATGCTTGTTATCTATCTACTTTCTCCTTTCATGTTGTTTTGGAGGTGCCTTTTAATCCCGGTGCTGCCATTATGAACTAGAAAATGATGTCAGGTTGTAATGTTTAAGCACGTGGAGATGAGGCCCTCTGAAATCTTCAGAAGGGGTGTTCAGGTCCTTCTCGAGAGGTCCTGGCACCACCATGGATCAGTCCAGGGGAGTAGGTCAAAAGGCCCTGCTGGGTTGGTAGGGTTTCTTGTTTCTTTGTTTCACTGGAAAGGTATGGCATTAGCATGATACAAGGGGTGGAAGGCAAAGCATGGGAGAAGGAGTAGAGCTTATAGAGTTATGAAATATATGGATTTGAATCAGACAGACGCAGTTCAAGTTCAGACTGTCACTTGCTGGCTATGTGAGTGTGCACAAGTTACTTAACCTCTCTAAAAATCAGTTGCTTCACCTGCAAAGTAGGAATAAGGCTACTGAGTCTTGCTGGGCGGGGGAATCATGGTAGATAACACCCCGACCTTGTTTAACCAGGTTGTGAGCTAACCAGAAATAAGACAAAACATTAGACAGATGGAGGTCAACATGCCACTTTTATTATTGTTAAAGCTGATATGAAAGAATGTGGCATCTTTTTATGGGCAAGTGGGCTTCACAGCCAGAACTTTCTATGCAGCCGCCCCAGCCCAGGACAAGATGCTCCCTCCAGAGGTAGGGCACAGTGTGTGCTGTCTCAGGAGGGGAAAGAGAGGTGGCCTGCATCATCCCCATTTCTTCTTCCATGCTCTGCTATCAGATAAGGTTCTCCTTCCCACAGACAGCATAAGGAAGCGGGGAGTACCTGGGAGTGTTACAGTTATGGGTCTTGCCCTCATGCAAGGCAGCACCAAGAGTGGAGGAAAACCCACTGCCCCTAACAGGAGCGACTTCAGAGGGTTCTTGTAAGGATTCTGTGAGATGAGAGAACATGTGTGGCAAATGCTAAATGCTCAACAAAATGTACTGATTGATGTTATTGCATTATCACCAAGCACGGGGATAGTGGCAAGGAAATGCGGTGAGGGTCGTTTGCAGGGAAAAATAGAGGAGTTTGGAAAATGATATGTGTTGTACTCATGGGGAAAAATATAAACACTTTAGGATATCTTTAAACCAGACAAGAGGTAAGTGCCTATACTTCCCAGGCTCTGTTATTGTTGCTCTGGGACAGGAAGACCAGCCTGAAGGTTTAGGACACAGTAGAAAGAGACTGGATTTCAAATAGCTGAGAGGAGGCAGAGTCCTTAACTAGATGAATGTGAAGCAAGAAGATGTCATTGAACTGGGTGAGGGAGATCCTTCCAATGATTATTCTCCTGGGATGATTCCTGGGTCTTGGGCAGTTGACCAATTACTCCCTATGTGGTTTCTTATTTGGGGCATGAGATTAGCCCATGTGCTTCCCCAGTCTGAGGTTTCTACAAGTTCTTTAGCCCCAGAATTTTCTTTGGGGTAGGATTTCTTTTTTCTTAAGCTGAAAAAAAAATGCAGACAAGGACAGGTGTGGTGTGGGGAAGCACTTCCATTTTTACCTTCGTCCCACTCATTCCATCCTGACCCTACTCAAAGCCCATGAGCTCTTCTGATTTTTTCTTTCTTTCTTCTGAGATTTTTCCTGCTAATTCATACACAGTATTAAAACATAAACTTGCTGCAAATTTCTAAAGCAATAATTCTTCCAGATCTCTGTTGGCCTCTGTTTTGAGCTAGGCATGATCTCCGTTTAAGGCAATTTTCTAAATTGCTTCTCTTAAATCTTCCTTCTGGGAATTAGCATCCAGGAGATTTTCTCCTCTTCCTCTTCCACCCTGCTTCCCCACTTTTTTAGTAGTGGGCCTTAAAGTCCCTGGCTGTGTATAAATGATGTTAAAGGTAGCCAATTGGGCTTTCTAAGACTCAAGGGTGACTCACTTGATCTCTAGAGGAAGCCTTGCATTGGCAAGTTATTACTGTCTCACTTCACAAAACACAGTAATTTCAAGTTATTGGCAGAGAGAGGAAGTCAGAAGGAAGCCAGGGCAGTGGAAATGTAGTAATATGGAAACATGCTTCAAAGCTGAGAGTGAAAAACAGTGAATTCGAGGAGAGAAAGACGAAGACCATGACAGAGGAAAGAGCGTCAGAATATGCCAATGTTCCCCATATAAAGAGGGCTCCTCAGGAAGCTTTGGGACATGGTAATTCTAATTATCTGGCAGGTAATTTTAAGGAAAGAACACGTAATTGCACAATAAACATGCTTGCTCTGGGAGAATGCTCTAATGGTCTTGATGCGTACAAGGTTGTGCAGATTGGTTCCCATGACCTCTCACCTGCTCTTCACCTTTGCTCAATGTGAGCTGAGACACGGCCTCTGTGGTTGGAGGAGAATCAATCTAATGGTGGTTCAGGTGACTGGAGGTGGAAACTTGCCATGACACTTTGAGAAAGCATGTTTCAGATCCTCCCCAAATGTTAAGCAAGCTCTTAAAATTGTAAATCTAATGACACCATGAAGTGTGTTTTGATGTTTCAATCAATGGGCATTTCATGGTGATGGCTCCACAGCTTGGCAAGCCTATATTTGGTTAAAAATTTGGCCTATTTAGAAGTCCCTGAATTTCGAGTAAACCAAGAGGCTGCCAATCAATGTGGCAGCTGAAACATTTGCTCTACGAAACAAAAACAATAGGACTCAACTCCCAAGTTTGAAAATTAATGCCATTTTGTTGTTTCTCTTAAAAGTCAATCTTTTTTCTTTGAGTTGCTCTTCATAGCATCTGCTAAGTGGCTATGTTGTTGGATTTTAGGGCTTGGCGCAATATTCTGTCCTCTTTTATGGCTATTATGACAATAAACGAACAATTGGATGGATGAATTTCAGGCTGCCGCTCTCCTATTTTCTGGTGGGGATCATGTGCATTGGATACAGCTTTCTGGTTGTCCTTAAAGCGTAAGTTTCACTGGTCTCTTGGGAAGCGAGCCATGATTTCTGGAATCAAATAGTATAATTAATTTAAGAATTGGATGTAATTTTTATTGTATTTTATATCTAGAGGATACTGAGTCCGTAAGAGATAAAATGTAGTTTTAATACCAACACTAGTGTTAGACTCTGACATTCCCCAAACAAAAGGGTTGAACACAAGCTCAGGCCTTTGGATCATCTCACTGGGTTGCACCCCTACCCTGTGTTTAAGCAGATTTTGAAGATACGCCTTTTTAAACTTCAAGGTATGAATCCATATTGCAAACAAGCCAGGGAAACAGCTGCTGGCCCCTCTTTTTTGTGTGCAGAGAAGTTTGCAAGTTGCAGAATCAGCTCAATAGGCAGAATCTGTTTTTCTCTGCTCATTAAAAAAACAAAACAGAACCAGAGTAGTCACTCAACCAAAAAAAAAAATCAGCCATATAAGATAGCGAAAACGAATGGCCCCCAGCGAGACCGTCACGATCAACTGCAGAATCATGGTCTGTCTGGAAGAACATTTATTAGAGCATGGAGAGCATGGAGAAGAATTTCATCAGAGAACTGATGAAGCTGCAGTTCATTTCCCCCCTGCCTGAAATGTATGTGTAACAACCCATTAAAGACAGGGCAGAAACCTGCATGTGGGGCTATGAGTAATCTCCATAATCCGTGAGCCAATTCTCTGAGCTAGCTTAGAAGTCTTGAGAGACCTCCATCAGTGTCCTGACCCTTTTATTGGATCATGAACAAGGTGAATTGGCCTTTTGCTTCATCACAGGAAAGAACCTCTGCTTGAGGGTCCAGGTCATCCTCCCCTATCGATTCCTTCATCGTGCTCCTTGCTCAGCAGGGAGCGTGCTTCTCCCTCTCCCACTCCCCCTGCTTGTGCTCTCTCTCTGTCAAATAAATAAATAAAATCTTAAAAAAAAAAAGAATGTAATACATGCTATTTAGTATAGTATGGCCCTTGCTGTAATTTTTTCCCCCTTGTGTAGTGGGCTTATCCTGTGAGCTTCGAGAGAGTTGCTTCCTACCTCCCTTTCAATCCCCTCCTTCTTCCTGACTTTCATTTTAGCAGAGGCTCCATTACAGTGACCCTGTTGGCTTAGGATTTATGGAGGCACTTATTCGAATAATTGAAAACTGTCACGTGCATCCATAAAATGACCAAATAACCGAGGCAAGAAGTCGAGGCAAAGGAATGAATGCAACAGTCGCTTTCTACAACCTCCCAGCAAAGCAAACGATACGTGGAGGTTGCTTCTCATAGACACAGTGGTTCAAATCTACAGCCTCCTTGAAAAAGGAAGAATTTCCATAGGTAGTTGCATTATTTTTCCCTCTATGGGTAAGGGCTAGAGCTGTCCATGGAACATTTAATAGGTGTTAGGGCTGTCCCTGAACAGAAGTGTGCTACAATCCCAAGTTTGTCTTCGGGACCTTCCCTTCCTTCTTTTTTTTAAAGATTTATTTATTTATTTGAGAGAGAGAGAATGAGAGCGAGCACATGAGAGGGGGGAGGGTCAGAGGGAGAAGCAGGCTCCCTGCCGAGCAGGGAGCCCGATGCAGGACTCGATCCGGGGACTCCAGGATCATGACCTGAGGCGAAGGCAGTCGCCCAACTGACTGAGCCACCCAGGCGCCCACCTTCCCTTCCTTCTTTTGGCACTCACCTCTCTTTCCAGTTGGTTCCCGCATGCTGGGTGTTCCTGACTTGCTTGCCCAGCTCACGCTCCCTTATCTGGGAGCACAACCCCCAGTTTTGCCAGGGAAGCTCCACTCAAAACTTCCATCTGTCAAGCATCCATTCTGACTTGAAGCCCTGCCCTTTTGCTCAGTGACAGCACAGAAATGGATGGTGGCATATGAATCCAATAAGTGATTTTCTCCCTCAGTTAAACCAGTGGAAATCTTGGGTTTCAACCCCTTTTGACCTACATAAAGGCATTTTATGTGATTCAACATAGCTCATACAGTCCTAGCTTGGGCACCAGAGAGAGGTCGGAGAACCTAAGCCCTTGACCTACCTCCGCGGTTAACTCCTGGAACGTGTCTAGCAAATCACTCCATAATGCTAACCCTTAGCTTCCCCATCTGTAAAAAGAGAATAATATTAACTACCTTGACCTTTTGCTCAGTTGTTGAGAAGGGGCAAATATGGTGATACAGGCAAACACCTGATTTCAAAGGGTAAGATGATAGACTGAAATAAGGGATAATTATTTTTGGTGATTTTTCGTAACCCATTAACCCATTTAAAATATATAAACCTCTATAAGGAGTGGAGCTAATAGAAGGGGATGTAGGCCACGTCAGGGATGCCTGCCAATTTATAATCTCAGCTTTATGGCATGGTGCTTCTTTCCTTTTTGGTTCTGTATCACTATAATATTCAAAAAACCAAAACCTTATGGCATCATTTTATAATATGTATCATATGAAATTTAATTTTGCTTTTTATAGTGATAAGGGGAAAAGAAAGGAAGTGGAGTGAGTGGAATATAGATCTCAAGCCATTGAAATAAACTTTAAGTAAATGCATTTTAAGCTTTCCAAGCAAAAAAAAAGTATGTGTGTGTGTGTGTGTGTGTATATACACACACACACACATATACACATATATATACATACATATACATATATATACACACATACATACATATATATACATATATACACATATATACATATACATATATATACACACACACATAATATTCGAATCAGTGATTTATATATATTAAAATATATAGATTAGAATATATGTAACCCATTGGCATGAAGGTTGTATAAAAATTTTGCTTTTTGTTCAAGAGTTACAGAGTATGGAGAAATTTCATGCATTCAGTCTGTTCTTTGGGAAGAGATTCTTGAGGGGGGAGTTGGATCTATGCAGGATTTCCTGACCTGCCCTGGGTTAGTTCATTCCTAGCTGCAGGGGGATCTGGAAATAAGCTAAAGCTGCCTAGAACAGTTTAAGAGTGTACACACATTTTTTTTCCTGGGGAGGGACCCATTTGTTTTCATCAGAGTTTTAAAGAGAGCCTTATCCTGCAAAAGGTTAATAAACAAGTATATGATGCTAAGAAAAGTTTAGGAAAATAAATTAAAAATATGTATTTTTATAGGACCAGTTTAGTTGTTAAAATCATCAATGCGTCATAGTCTTTTAATCTTGAAAGGCCTGGAAAATGAACAGTTTAAAAAATTAAAACAAACCCAAAATTTAAAGATAAATTTCTATTTTCTGGTCATAAGAACAAACTTTGTTTGAAAATACATGCTTTTGGGATATTGCTTCTCCAGGCTACCTACAATTGTACTATTTTGCTACTCCCTACCCTCTCCCTTTCTTTGTGTTTCCGGGGGGGGCTGGATTAAACTCCGCGTTTTTACAGGATGACCAAAAATATCGGGGATGATGGGGGTGGTGATGACAATACATTCAACTTCAGCTGGAAGGTATTCACAAGCTGGGACTACCTGATTGGCAATCCGGAAACAGCAGACAACAAATTCAATTCTATCACCATGAACTTTAAGGTAAACACATCAACCTCAAGATCTGTGCCTTTGGATTTCTAAGACTAAAATCAGAGCCATTCCATACGGTTTAGCTAGCGAAGTATCCTGACAGAAGAAAGATTAACTCATCATTTCTGCCTACCAGGATCTGGGCAGGGTTCTGATTGTGATTGGAAAATATCTGATGACAGCACAATTTCTTCTCTAAATTTGGTGATAAAAATACCGCCATTGGTTTGAAACAGAAGACCATTAGTAATCAGAATTGGATAGTCTAAATAATAGAACAATGCTGACTAATTATTTACAGGAATAAGCTAGCTCAATATTCAAAATGACTCTTAGGTATTATTTTGTAGCTTCAAAAAAAAAAAAAAAGACTTTATCAGAAGAGAATTTAGAAAGAAGATTGTCCTAGTATTAGATCCATCAGAGTTTGTAAGAATTGTCCCTTCCTTCACTTGTTCTCAGTTGCTGCTGATATCCACCTGGTTTGCGGAATCCCAGATAGAGTATGCATTTTCATTCCTCATTGGATGTTTGCAAGAATATTTTCTGAGTGTGTGCTGGTTTTTGTAGCTCAGATACACTTTTTTTTTTTTTTCTGTTTTGCTTGAGTACAGGAAGCAATCATAGAGGAAAGAGCAGCCCAAGTAGAAGAAAACGTCCACTTGATCCGATTCCTGAGGTTTCTTGCTAACTTCTTCGTGTTTCTAACACTTGGCGGGAGTGGATACCTCATCTTCTGGGCTGTGAAGCGATCCCAGGAATTTGCACAGCAAGATCCTGACACCCTTGGGTGGTGGGAAAAGAATGAAGTTCGTCTCTGCATGCTTTCTGTGTGCTTAGAACCTGACATTTGAAATTGTGTGGGTTATGCTTCTATGATGCAATGTTAAATAAGGCCACGTTTTACCTATCTTCCCCCACGCTGCCCTGTCACACATTTTCCACTCTCTTCCAGTCTTATTTCCGGATCTTTCTACGGCCTGTCTGTTTTTCATTTTGTGCCTTTATGGTAAAGCTGGAGTTGAAAGATATTGGAACACATATATTCCAACCAGTATATTTAACAGATGTGGTTAATGAGTGTCAGGAGAGGGGGCGGTGTGTTCAGGTCACAGAATCGTGGAGAAGAGTGAGTTAAAACCTGGGAATCTTGATTTCAAGGCCCACACTCCTTCCATGACTCTATGTTTCTTTCTCTATAGATTCTGGGTCTGTCACTGAAAGATCCAGTTGTTGCCCGTATTTCTTTAAAGCAGCAATGTTAGAGTCCTTGGTTCCTATGTTTATCTCACCAAAAACGTTCAGATTACCTCCTCCACTGTTGGCAAGTCTGGGATTCTCTCTGTCTCTCCCTAGCAGCCTCACTGCACACTTCCCATCTTCTCCTCCCCTTGCCTTATTTCCTCCCCCTCCAAGAGAGAGTCAAATGAGGAAGGCCAGCTCTTTGCCTGGAATTAAATCGGATTGTGATATGTCTTCCGGATATGTGCCCACTGAGCAGGTCAGAGGAAGGAGGTCAGATATTGAGAATAAGGAAATTCAGATATTTAGAGTAAGGAAATCATTATGTGTCGTCGCTAGGGCCTGTTCCCTTTCATAAAATGTTCTGGCGTACAATGGGGCATCATTTTAAACTTGGCCATTTTCAAGGTATGTAGAGATTGAGGCTGTGGGAAGTGTAGACTGACCACAATGAAACTTGTGCAGAGCCTCGTAGACCAAAGAGATTCAGAAAGTTCATATAAGCGTAGAATTTTCTAGAAATATCTTGGACAAAATATAACCTGTTTACAACAAAAAGCTCCAAATGAAAGCATTCCAGGTATTTCAGAAATGGTAATACTGGAAATGGGAGACCATACATTTAAGAGGCTATACAGGACAGACATTTCATAGAAACCTATAAAAAGTCAGTAGGTAGAGGGATTTTATTTATTTAAAGCAGAGGAGAACCTCAAAGCATTTATCAAATCTTTTGCCAAAGTTTCTCCTTATAGTTTTGATAATTGCTATAGTAGTCAAAATTACCATGCCACTTTTGTCCATGGTTCATATTGATCATATTTTTGTATAAATGAACCAGAGTAAAGGGTGGGGAGTTGATTTTCATTAGGTAGAAGAGTCACTCTATGTAAGGTCTGCTTAACACCATTTTAGGGGACCCTGAGTCCTAAGGGCCAACAAAGGTAGTAATAGGGATTCATGAATAACTTCATACATTTGATGAAACAGAATTTAAATTTACCTTATAAAAGATCGCATAGGATCTACCAAGTTTTTACCTTAGGCTGAAATTATATCGTGCTGATTTTATGTTATGCCATGCTGATTTTTATCTCCTCTTGGTTATGCTCATATAATGTTCTTAATAAAAATGGGAAAAACCATACTGACAATTATTTTCTCAATACAGTCTGGTAGTTATAATCATTCAAAACACGGAATCAAGAAATGGCAATAGGAAATGTTTAGTGGTGACAGTTTGAACCAGGTATTTAGGAAAGGCCCTTGCCAGGGCTATACCCAAAATCTTTTTCCATTTAAGGAGGCTTTTTCCCCATCACAAAAGTAGTACATGCACTGGATTCTTTTCCCCGATTTAATTTAGCCTAATATTATAATTATAAAGGTGCCAGACAGGAAATATGGACCATACATTTGCTACTTTTCATATTCTCTCTTCCCCCCCCCCCCCCCCCCCCCGTGGCATTATAAACCAGTTCTTCTTTCCTGGAACTTTCCTACCTTGGCTTTGATAACATCATGCCTGTGTTCTGCCTTTTGTTTCTCTCAATGTCCTGTTTTCTTTGATAAACCCATTCCTTTTTTTTTTTTTTTTTGCCCCTAATAGGGTGTATCCCCCAGAATTCAGTATTTAGTCCTGAACCCATCTCAAGGACTCATTTATTCCAACTGATTGAACTAGCCGGTATGCTGGTAATTGTCAAATTAGTATTTCCAGTTTGGACCTCATTCCTCAAGCAGATCATTTTCCCTTTCCTTTGGAAATCTTGTTGCAAAGTGTATCACCATATCAGAATCAGTTCCCATGTAGAACAATATGTGTTCTTTGGATAGAGAGTGATGTAAATTACTTCCCTCATTATACTAGGAAACAGACTATTATTACTGGCATCTACATAAGCTCATACCCAAGCACACCTGTAGGTAGGGAGTTGAATATTTTCTTTGTTGTCTTATTAAGATCAAATTTTAAAAGTGCATAAGATTATCTTCTTTAGTCTTATAAAAGATGAAGGAAATCTAGCTGAAATCTTGCAAAATCCTGGAAGAAAGCAATTATTTTTTAAATACCATTAACTTAGTTAATTCCTTGTGTCTCCCCTATAGATGAACATGGTCATGTCCCTTCTGGGGATGTTCTGTCCAACACTGTTTGACTTATTTGCTGAATTGGAAGACTACCATCCCCTCATTGCTCTGAAATGGCTACTGGGACGCATTTTTGCTCTACTTTTAGGCAACTTGTATGTATTTATTCTTGCCTTGATGGATGAGATTAACAACAAGGTAAGTCTTGTATCTGGATTGTTCTTGGCATCAGTGTGTTGTTACATTCCCAGTCTCCAGATTGCTGGAAATGCCTCTGAAATCTGTGCTGTCTCCATCTTTGCTTCCATCACTTTGCATCCTAGATTGAAGAGGAGAAGCTGGTAAAGGCCAATATTACCCTCTGGGAAGCCAACATGATCAAGGCCTACAATGCATCACTCACGGGAAATAGCACTGGGCCACCTTTTTTTGTGCATCCTGCAGATGTACCTCGAGGACCCTGCTGGGAAACAATGGTGGGGCAGGTAATGTCACCAACAGAAGTGTGTGACAATAAATGGATTAAAAAAGAGCAGAATCAATTATGTCTTTCATAAGTGTGGCCTATTTTTTTTTATTGCTTCATAAAAAATACCAAAGATTTATTGAAGGCTTACTATGGTGCTGGCTATGAATTTCATATATAGTCTCTCATGCAGTCCTCACTCCATCTATTGACGTAAGTACTACTTTTACACGTTTTTTTACAGTTGCGTATAAAGAAAGGATATTTTTAAATGATGTGAGGAGAGGTTCATCTTCTCTTTGTGTTTTAATAAAGCACCTAGATTTAGATACAGGCTCCAGTGAATATTTAAATGGAACTCTACCTATTACTACCAGTTTTCCATTAAAAAATAGATTCTTTGGGGAGCACACACTAATACTAATTTCAGCAATGTCCATTTTTGTCAAATAATTGTCCCTTAGGTGTTAAAGGAAATACTATTTTAGGTTAGTTGTTTTCATGATGATTATGTAAATGGACCCAGTCCAAGGCTACTAGCATTTTACCAGAGAAAAGAGAGAATGTTTTATATGGCTTTCTGTCCAATAAAGGAAACCAAATAAGGAAAAACAACAATAAACTATTTCACATTTCTTATTTCTTTTTTTGTTTGTTTGTTTTGTTTTGTTTTTATTTATTTATTTGACAGAGAGAGAGATAGTGAGAGCAGGAACACAAGCAGGGGGAGTGGGAGAGGGAGAAGCAGGCTTCCCACGGAGCAGGGAGCCCGATGCGGGGCTTGATCCCAGGACCCTGGAATCATGACCTGAGCCGAAGGCAGACGCTTAAAGACTGAGCCACCCAGGCGCCCCTCACATCTCTTATTTCTATACAGATCCAGTTTTTATTTTGAAAAGCCTTTAATTTGATCTCATTAAAATTGACATTGCTACTGTGCATTTCATAAACCGATTTTGGACTTGGGTTCATCGATGAGGACCAGATACTTTTAAATATGTCATCATGCATCTGCCTGCCTATTGGACAACATTCAGTCTCAGCAGTAATGTGGTCTTATGGAATTATTTGAATAATTTTTTGCTGTGTACTTATTTTTTATAATCTAAAAGGAAAAATTGAAAGTTAGTGTTAGTCTTATAAAACTGATGCAATGTGAAAATGTGGGTATCAATAGATGCCCTCATGCTCAATTAGATGCTCATCAGACTTAAGCCAATCAACTGTGATTTTAATTGTGGGAAAAAAATAACAACGTATGTGATGCTAGACACATGTCCAAAAAGTATGGTATGATTAAGGATTTTGTTTTACTTTATTTTTATGCTTTCAGGGGCCAGATAAGCATCTCCCTTTCCAGTTACGTATTATTAAATACTCAATTTTCAGACAAGCACATTTCATATATGTTTATAGAACATATTATATATGAAATAATAAATGAAATGAAAATAAATGAAGTCTGCCTTTACTTAGGAGAGAGGTATGGTAGATGGAGTAATGGCCCTTCAAAGATGTCCGTGCCTAATCTCTGGAATCCCTCTGACTTTGTTACCTTACATGGTAACATGGACTTTGCTGATGGGACTAAGTGAAGGAAAATTATCCTGGATTATGTGGATGGACCTAATGAAATCACAAGTAGGGACAAAAGAGTCAAAGTCAGAAAAACCAGACGTGACAGTGGAACTGTCTTGGAGAGATGTGCTTTATAGATGGACAAAGAGGGACTATGAGCCCAGGAGCGCCGGCAGCCTCTAGACGCTGAACAAGGTGGGGACCCAGATTCCTCCCTGATGCCTACACCTTGATTTTAGACTTCTGACCTCCAGAACTGTAAGAAAATAAAGTCGTGTTGTTATAAGCCCCAAAGTTTGTGGTAATTTGTGACAGCAGGTACAGGAAGTGAATGCACAGGAGTCCACTGGTTTCTGGGTTTCAAGGGTCCTTCCTTGAAGTGAAGTCTGGTCACCGTGCTTCACACAAGTCTTACCACATGTAGGCTGCTCCTTGAGTCTTTAGCTAAAGTGGAAAGAAATGAAAAATTGGGGAGAAAAGGATTTTTTTTCACAAGCTCGGGAAGTTTGAGGTGTTCTCTTCTGTATGTCCTAGAATGCAGACTGGCAGGTGGGGTATGACACCTACCCTTTAACAGTCTTGACGGAATGGACTGTCAAGGATGAGATTGAGGCTGCTCACTTCTGGGGAAGAGAAAGTGATTAATTAGATGGGAACGCCAGTGCAATTGAGGAGGATACTTGTGTCTCCGAATATGCAGAAGCTTCTGTGTTGGTCCCACACATACTGGCTTAAAATAAAGGAAAAATCACTTATTTAATTCTTCTTGAGACCTTGCTGCTTGTCTTGTCCTTAAAAAAAAAAATATCCCATCTTTGGTGCTTTTCCTTGCTTCATCATCTCTCCTTACTGCCCCCTTCTCTTTCACTTTCCTTTCCCTAAGAGGGCATTCAGCGCTTGTGGGAAAGTCTGCAGGAGCTGACCCAGAGGTTGTGGTTCTAACAGAATGTAGATGAGGGAGGTAGAGTCCACGGGGACAAAGAGAACACAGGGGACATAAAAACCCTGAGTACTGGAAAGTCTTGTCTTTAAGAGATCAATATCTATATCCATGCACCTAGAAACACTTTGTTTACCCATCTAAAAAAGAAATGACTCCAGGGGCGCCTGGGTGGCTCAGTCAGTTAAGGGTCTGACTCTTGATTTCAGCTCAGGTCGTGATCTCTTGGTGGTGAGATCCAGCCCTGAGTCAGGCTCTGCACTCAGGACCGAGTCTGCTTGAGATCCTCTCTCTCTCTCTCACCCTTGGCCCTTCCCCTGCTCATGCACGCGTGCTCTCTCTCTCTCTAAAATAAAATGGAGTCTTTTTAAAAAAAAAGTGACTCCCGGAGAAACAGTAAAGGCATCTGATTTGCATGTCATCTTGGGGACACACCCCAAACACTCATTCATTGTTCCATAAGAACATTCCTGAAGTTTCCTCTTGTCCTCCCTCTGCTTTGTTTCCTCAAGGATGATATAAGACTCAAACCTCTCTTTGATCTGAATAAAGGATAATTTGGTGGCTCCTTTATCCCTCCAGGGAATCTCAAGATGTAGCTCTTAGGCAGGAAAGCCACCCTTGGGAGATTGCTATTTAAAGCTATATACTGAGGTCTGCATTTTGGGGAAGGGGAAAGCAGCCAACTGAACAGAACAACAGTGGCTAACATTTATTGAATGCCTATAATGTGCCCAGCGCTGTTTCCTTGAATTTTTAAATTACCCTGAGATAAGTTATATAACTATCTCTATTTTATAGATGAGGAGGCTGTGACCTGAAAAGCTACAAAAATTTTCTCAAGCTCTTAAAGGAAGTCAATGACAGGAGCCCAAATGTACCCATGCATCCTTGTCCATAGCGCTGAATTGTCCCTAGAAATATAATCAGCATCAACACCTACTCTCTAAACTCCTGCCATGGGACATCTAGAGTCTGTGGTCCTTTGTGATGCCCCTTGACTGTCGTGTTCCTGTTACCTGCTAATGACTTTTATGTTTACTGATCAAAGCTGCCCAGGCAGGCATTTAATAACTAACTGTAATGAGTGGAAAGTTGTGAGGTGTGGGGCATGGTGCTCAACAGGGGGCCTGTGTGGAGACTGTGCTCCCATCCTGACTGGCATGCTAGGAACTGGGATTGGTGCCCCTGAGGTGGGCTGGGCCACTGTTGGGGGGATTCTCTTTCTTATGAAGCATTGTGTTCTTCCTATGGTTTGTGAATAAATCTTCTTATGTTTCTGTATAATGCTTCAATCCTCTTCTGGTATTTTATATGACAGACCACTGCTTAGGAAAAAATAGGATTTCAACCACTGGGATGAGAATGTTTAGGAAGTTGAGGGGGACTTTAAAACCTTACCTTCTGACAAGGTAGTGGATGCCAAAAAATATTTCTCATCGCCTCCTTCTAATTGATACTAGTTATTAGAATCTGAACTCAAGTTGCCTGGGCAATGAAAAAGAGAATAAGAACAGGAAGAGAAAAGTTATGGCCAGAAATAACTGCAGGAATTTACTATCATTCAACCATTCATTCCATATTTATTGAGTGCAAGCTGAGTGGCAGGCATCATGTTGGATACTAGAAGTCCAATGGGCACAAAGGTGGGCTAGTTCCTTGCTCTTGTGAAAACTACAATTTCTTGGGTGGGGGGGGAGCAAAGCCATTAATTAAGTCATTATGCAAAATTTGCAAATTTACAATGATAGCCAAGCACTACAAGAATGAAATACATGGAATCTGAGAATTTTTTATGGGGAAGCTTGCCCTTGTCAGTGAGATGAGTGAAACTTTCCTAAACCAGTGATGCCGTAGTGGTGTGTATTCGTTGGTATAAACTGAGTCAAGAGGTGAAGTAACAATGATTGAGTGGAGTGAAGACCCAGGCAAAGGCCCTGTGGCCTGAGGAAGTATGGAGATTGAGGGTCTGAATGAAAGCCAGTGGGGCTGGAGTGAAGAAGAGGGATGAGCAATACCAGAAGAATATGGGGAGCTAGACAGGAGCCGGATTATATAGAAACTTTCAGATTATGCAGGAACCTCTCACTCTCTTGGCCCACCTTTTACTCCAGCTGTTCTGCATGCAGCTGTTAACCTGATAGCATCTCAACAGCTGTATGCATATTCTCTTTACCTTCAAAGTTTCTCTGCTGTCATCAAGTGGGGTGTTAATACCGCATGGGGACATCCTTGGCTAATGGGAGTGGTTGTTGGTGGATCAGTATGTCCCTCTTCTGTCACTGGCATGGATAATTCTGAGGCTTATTCTATACAGCTTCTAGGCTTCCAGGTGGGGTCCCCAGAAGGATAAGACTCACTTGCCTCAGTAGTGACATATTTTAGCATGCTCTTGGGCAAAAGCTTTCCTTCCTTCTGTTTCATTCTTCCCAACCTCCACTCCTGTTCTTTGACACCATTTCCCAAAATACACTGCCAGCCTACAAGCCCTTGTCACAGGCACGACAGTTGGTGAAAACTAATGCTGAGTTTTTAAATTTGTATTTTTAAGGTTTTACTCTAATAATTTTTGCTTGGCTCATGTGTATATTTTAGTTAACTACTATTTATAGCAGATTATATTTGTAATAGTCGTGGTTATTTTTTAAGAATAAAGTATGTTGATGTTAAAAGAAATCTGAGATAAATTATATTTCATATGGTACTTGGACGTATCAAGAATCATGGAGGTGGTAGACGATGATCTGGCATTCAGGAAGCATTGCTCTGAAGTACGAGGCTGGAAACTAATCTAAAGACAGCTAGTCAAATGGCCCTTTGCCCCATGAGAAAATTCTTTCTCACTAGTTATTTAGAGGGGAGATTATATATGTAGCTGGAAATAGAAACCGAAAGACTTCAGAAATTATAGAAGAACACTAGTATTTCTGGCAAAATATGTATTATGAGATATCCAGTGTCTTCAGTCTTAGGACATAAATTATTGAGAAGGAAAAGAAAAGGAGGAGCAGAGGAGAACTATCACAACAAACATTTATAATTATGTGTCTATTCTAATATTTATCAATTATTGTCAAAGGGGTTCCACGAGGAAATAGTGAACTTTCCCTCTAATCCACAGCACACACCCTTTTGCACATAAATTTAAGTCCACACCACTGAGGTAACCAGTTTCTGGTTTTCCAGAACTTTCTACGTCTATACATATACATATAGGCATATATACATAGGAATTTTTGTTAACAAATGAGTTCATACAACATATCCTATTTTGTAAATTTTTGTTAACAAATGAGTTCATACCACATATCCTATTTTGTAAACTTTTTAAAGTTTACTGAGGTATGATTCATCCACCACACATTCCACCCATTTACAATATGCAATTCAATGGTTTCTAGTGTATGTTCACATAGTTGTGCATCTATAACCACAATTGCACTCTTTTTCTTTCAAGAGCTCATGATATTCCATTGTGAGGACACACTGTTCTATTTCATTAATCTCCTGAGCATATTTGAATTGTTTCCAATCTTTACCTGGAAGAAGTCCTACTTTAACAATCACATGTATAGATCTGTGCACTTGTGTTCATACTTTTGTGGGACACCTTTCCACAGGTGGATTTCCTTGATCATATTCTACTCACTTTAAAATGTGATGGATTTCCACAAATTTCCCACCAAGTGTTGTTGGGGGTCGACATTCCCCCATCAGTTTATGGTAGTGTTTACTTCACCACACTCACCAATAAGGAGAAGCCTGGATTTTTAAAGATTTATCTTTCTGTGAGGCAACAACTCTTTGTTTTAATTTGCACTTTCGTGTGTGGGGTTTCAATGTTTTTCAACATTTTAATTGACTGCATATTTCCTTCTGTGAATTTCTTATTTGTGCCATTTGCCAGCTTCTTTCCTTATTGGATTGCCCATCTATTGTGAGGCTGATTTATAAACATTTCTAATGTGTTAGAAAAACTAATCCTGTATCACGGATGCTGCCAGTACTTTTCGAAGTTCATCTTTTAACTTCATAAACATTGCTGTTTGCCAGATTAAAGTTTTAAACATATGTGTGGTCAATATATCCCTGGTTTTGTTTCTTGTGTTATGCCTATAAAAGTTTTTCGGTAAGAAGACTTTTGATACAGTGGTTTTGGAAGTGGAGATAATTACTTTTGACTAATAAAATAAGGGTGAAACATTTTTCACTTGCTAGATATGCCTCACTATTTTTTCACTATTAATGGCAGTTTCTAAGCTAATACCATGCAGAAGCATAACAAACTTGATGCCGACACTAGGGCCCTTTGAAGGGAGAGATGCTCGTTTTTAATCTGGATAATATCTCGACAGGAATTTGTGCGGCTGACCGTTTCTGATGTTCTGACCACTTATGTCACAATCCTCATTGGAGACTTTCTCCGGGCATGTTTTGTGAGGTTTTGCAATTATTGCTGGTGCTGGGATTTGGAATATGGATATGTAAGTATGATGCTCATCTTTCCTCCTGTCAGATTATTCCTTTGTGGTTTATCACTTGCACACACTATGCCAGAAGAAGAATTTAGGAGTAGGACCACCTGTTAGTGTTAATAAGTGAAGACCAGTGAGTACAGTTTTAATTCAGAAGGGTGTAAGACTTGAGTGTCATGGTTTATGATATTCTAGTAAAGTGAGCACAGGATGGTTAAAGCAGTGGACCTCAACCTGTCCATGAATATGGTGAACTCAGTCTGGGACCCATAGTCATGAAGCTTACTGACATTTCCAGAAGCTGGACAAGATGGGTAGTATCAACTGCACATTCTATTAATTCCTTTGAATTCTACTAAACAGACTCCTGGACAGTTACTGTGCAGTGCAATGGATGATAAGTGGATCCAGTAAATATGGTGCTCGTTTCATAAAGCTCCCAGGCTAATAAGAGCTCAGCAGAGACACAGCAGGGAGCTGTGGAAGTTTTGAGGCAAGCCCAGGGTGCTGATAGGTGTCTGGCAAGTCGTGGACCTGAACTCTGGCAAGTTGACATCCTTCCGGCACCACAGCAAGAACCCAGGTTTCTCTGAGCCCCACTGATGTTGACTCCATTCCCAGTTCACGCTCTGCATGCAACCCCCGGTTCCCCCCCCCGCAACCCCCCAAAGTTTAAGGGAGGCAACAGAGCACACACCACTCTGTGGTCTTCCACATTGCCAGGTCCCTCTTTTGCAACTGTAACAGTCATCTTGGGAACTATGACTGTAGTTGGGTTGTAGTACTGGGTTGACTGTAATCATGTGCTTAAAATCCTCCAGTGGTTAATAAGTACTTAGAATGAATTCCAAATCTCTTTCTAAGGCCTTCGATATCTTGTAGGATCTGGGTTTTTTTTTCTCTTTCTTTCTTTCTGAGCTCATCTTCTACCACTTTTGTTCTTGCTTTGCAAAATCCATAAATGGTGGAATTCTTTCTTATGCTCAAACACAAGATGACCCTTGCATTGGCTCTAGCTGTTTTTCCCTGTAGGGGTACAGATTCCTAGAATTTGGCATGGCTGATGCCTTCTTTGTCATTAAGGACTCTGCTAATATGTCACCACCTTTGAGCTCTTCTCTGACCTTCTCATCTAATATAGCCTACCAGGATCTCTCCTTCAACACCCTGCTTGATTTTCTTCATATGATGTATAACTAGCTGACATTTCCTTTTAAAAACATGCTTATAATCTATCTCCCTCTGTTAGAATGAAAGACCTATGAAAATAAAAGCCTTGACCCCTATACTTGTCACATGGTGGGCATTATGTGTTGACTGCTTCTGTGTTAAACCTCTACATTCTAGCACCATCCAGGCAACGCCATCTATTGACGGAATTCTGCCTGCTTCCAGGGATGTGCCCACGGAGTCTGTCCTGGTTTAGTAATCTCAAGCCAATGACGTTTCTCTCCTCTCTCAGGAAATGGTATCCTTTATTGCCGACCTCTCCCCAGCCCCATGCCCTCTAGTCTCTGGACAAGTCCTATGCTCAGAACAGTTTTCAAGACCGCAGGCTGGATCCTCAGCCTGGCTATCTGACTTGGAGATCGTACCTTTGATTAGGTCATCTCTGTCATCCTCACTGAAAGTGCCCGTGGGACGAGCCAAAAGTGGTTAGATAATGCTCTTTGGTGAGCACCAGTGAGGTAATGCTATGGATCCAGGATGCTCTTGCACTGCTTTCCCACTCCCTGCTATGAGGTATTCAGCTGGCTGGGTTTCATTTCTATTTTCCTTGTCTGATTCAGCTCTTCTGAGGCAGACATAAAAATTGCCATTTCTTTCTGAGGCCCTTGCCTGGCTTATGCTTGCCTTTTATCCCTTACTGCTCTCTTCCTAAGTGCTAGAAAATTTTGCTTCAAATATGAAGTCAATAAAACATGACCTGGATGCATAATAGCTATAATTAAACGACTGTCATTTATTATTTATTGAGTGCTGACAGTGCTCTTGGGTTAGTACAAAGTACAGGGGAAAAAAAAGACAAGTTCCTGTTTTAGGTCACAGAGAATTTTCTCCCATGTTACTTTTGGAAGGCTCTGCATACATCCATATTTGAAAGTATCCCAGCATCAAAACAAATTTTAAACAGTAAAGGGTGGATGGTGGATCTTTGATGCAGATCCTATTATCATTGGCCCATCCAGTAAATAGCTGACACAGCTGAGTGTCTACTAAGTGCAAATCAGTAAGAGCAAAGCTCTGTGCTGGGTGATAAGGGGATACAGAGATGTAAAAATGTCCACCTAAGGAGAGATTGCAAACTTGGGCTTGCTGCCTAGATTCAGCTTGCTGATATATTTTTCTTTCTTTGCAGAGTGTTTTCTTTTGTTTGTTTGTTTTTATTTATTTTTTTTTAATGAGCTCATATTTTAAAACTAGAATTTTTACATTTTACAAAATAGGGATTTCTTGCTTTTCTTGGCATATTGGAAAGGCTGGCAACATTCAATCCGTATTCCCATTCGGGAGAAATTGGCTGGAGTGAGAAACCACTGCCCTGTACAGATGGAATATTCATCCACTAGTTCCTCACACTCCTTACTGCCCTTTAATCCTGCAAGCTCTCTCCTTATCAATACAGAGCACAAAATGTAAATGCCATAGGAGAAACCATGGCTACATGACTTTGGGGGTGGAGGGAGGGAAGAAAAAAGGGAGGGAGGGAGAGGGAAGAAGAAAGACACAAATAAAGAGAGAGAGAGATCAGAAATGCCAAAACCCAAAGACATGTTGGAGGAAGAAGCACTTGAGCCAGTCTTGGGAAAGGATCAAAATTTCAAAGATCCAGTGGAAGCAAGGATTCTTGGTGGAGGGACCAACATAAGACAGGGCCCAGCAGGTATGGGCAAAGTGTGGGCAGGCCTCCATGCAGAAATCTCAGCTGGGGCTGTCCCAGAGGAGAAAAGGCTGATGAGAATGTTTCTCTGATATTCTCCTGGACATCCTAATTGAAAATATGAATCCTGGGGGCGCCTGGGTGGCTCAGATGGTTAAGCGTCTGCCTTCAGCTCAGGTCATGATCCCAGGGTCCTGGGATCGAGCCCCACATAGGGCTCCTGGCTCAGCGAGGAGCCTGCTTCTTCCTCTCCCTCTGCCTCTCTCCCTGCTCATGCTTTCTCTCTCTCTCTCTCTCTCTCTCTCTCTCTGTATCTCTGTGTCTCAAATGAATAAATAAAAAAAAAAAAGAAAATATGAATCCTGGAAATACCTGTCATGAAGTAAAGGAGAACCTGAGATGGGCAGAGAAGATACTTTTGAGATGCCTTTCAGAAATCAAAAAGAAGGGGTGCCTGGGTGGCTCAGTCGTTAAGCGTCTGCCTTCAGCTCAGGTCATGATCCCAGGGTCCTGGGATCAAGCCCCGCATCGGGCTCCTGCTTGGCGGGAAAACTGCTTCTCCCTCTCCCACTCCCTCTGCTTATGTTCCTCTCTCGCTGTCTCTTTCTGTCAGATAAATAAATAAAATCTTAAAAAAAAAATAAATTAATGAAAAAAAAAAGAAATAAAAAAGAAGGGGTACCTGGATGGCTCAGTCGGTTAAGGGGCTGCCTTGGGCTCAGGTCATGATCCCAGCATCCTGGGATCAAGCCCCTCATCCGGCTCCATGCTCAGCAGGGAGTCTGCTTCTCCCTCTCCCTCTGCCTGACTGTCTGCCTACTTGTGATCTCTCTCTCTCTCTCTGTCAAATAAATAAATAAAATCTTAAAAAAAAAAAGAAATCAAAAAGAAAAATGTGTCCATTTCCACCACCAAAAAAAATTTTTTTCTGAGTTCCCAAAATAATACTAGCTCATTATAAAAAATCCAGAAAATCCAGTGTAAGTTCAATATGAAAATAAAAATCGCAGGTAATCTCACCATAATGGCATTATTTATTTGGATTATTTGAATTGGATCGTATTAGTGTTTATTTATATGTAAATAAACAAGTACAATAGATTTTTATATAATATTATAGATTTTTATAAATATACCTTTTTAAAAAATTTTTTATTAAAAAGTATATATTTAATGACTGGTTACCTGCTTTTTTCACCTGTGACCATTTCCCTAGGTTAACTATTCTTTTATTTTAATAATTTATTTTATTTTTTAAAGATTTTATTTGTTTATTTGAGAGAGAGAGAGAAAGAGCAAGAACAGGGGGAGGGACAGAGGGAGAGGGATAAGCAGACTCCCCACTGAGTAAGGAGCCCGACGCGGGGCTTGATCCCAGGACCCTGGGACCATGACCTGAGCCAAAAGCAGATGCTTAACCAACTGAGCCACCCAGGCGCCCGGTTAACTGTTCTTTTATGACAGTTTTAAATGACAGTGTGATATTCTATACATGAATGAACTATAATTTAATTTTTATTGGCTGTCAGTAAAACTTTACCTAATTTTTAATTATTATAATAAATACTGCGGTTACATTTATTTATATCCATGTAGTCAAATATCTTCACAGATAAGTTATAGTGGCATGCACAGATTATTTCCTTATGAGAAATTTCCCTAAGTTGAATTTCTCATTCCTAGAGAACATGCCTTTTTAAAAAAATCCATTCACTTTTCTTACAACAGCTTCTGTAAAAACTGAACTCTGCAGACTCTAGCATCAGATTTAGCAATCCACAGAATATTAATGTTGGGTGGAATTTTGACATAATCAATCATGCATCCTTTATTTCACATCTGAAAAATTGAGGGTTCGTGCATTGAAGTGAGTTACCTCAGTTTGTGTAGCCAGGGAATAAACAAGGGCAATGAAGTGTCCTTCTGGACACAGCCATTGTGTTAAATATGCTGAATTATATACTGGTTGTATCAGAGTCCATTCCGTTAAAAGTGAGCCTGTAGATTTTTCAGCTATAAATTTATGGCTAAAGTGTTATCACAACAAACCTATAAAGATGGACTGAGGTGAGGAAATTACTGGCGAGGAGCAGGCTGTTAGACCATGTAATGTAAGTTAATCTTTCCT